TGGTTTGGAATTTTATTAGCCAGGTCAATGATTCCTGAAGCAGTATTCTATTAATGTCCGGCGAAAACCCTCAGGAAACTCGCCGTTGTCGGCAGGAACCCTATCGGAAAATGCCAAGATACTGCTTCCATGTAATTTCCAGATTACCACGGAATCGGCCGTTTCCGTGCCGAATTACTCCACCTGGATATATCCTAATGATATGCATTTCGATAATGGCACTTATTATAGTTCAGACAAAGAAAAATTTGAAGATTTTTGTATTCATAATTCATTGAATGGTCCAGGTGTTACTATGTTATCAGATGGAACTCGACTTGAAGGAAGTTTTATCGATAGTTTTTTATATGGAAATGGTTCTTCTTATTCTTCCAAAGGAGATCAATATCATGGCAACTACAGAAATAACCAAATGTTTGGTTATGGTTTTTATTCCTTTGAAAATCATGATAAGTATGAAGGGAACTTTATTTATAATATGTTCAATGGATTTGGTACTTATTAATTTGCTAATGGAGATAAATATGTTGGACATTTTTATAATGGTGCAAAAGACGGTTCAGGTACTGTGTATTATTTAAATGGAAACAAATTTAAAGGAAATTTTATAAATGATAAATGAGGTGGTTATGGGAAATCTGTTGATACTGAACGTGTTAAATATATTGCCTATTGGTTAAATATTATTATACTTTATTTATTTTTATTTGTGAATTTTTCTTCTTTTATTTAATTAAAATAAAGTTCTCTATTATAAAAACAAAATAATAAAGAAAATTTAATTTCTCAAGAAATTCAGAATGAATTGAAGGTCGTAGTTGTAGGTGTGGGACTATCTGAAATAGAACACCCACACCCACCCAACCTTTACGTTCGTTTGTCATAGAATCAATTTTCAGTAAAGAAGGAAAAATCATAAGATGATTGTCTCCTTAGACGACAGCAGGCAATGTATTGCTCGTATTCTTCCTGCCAATAAATACACAATCTATAATTGAATATTGAAAGAATAAAAATTAAATAATATCTATTGACTATGAACGATAGAACGGTTCGTTTACTCGATTTACCTGATGAAATTTTACTTATTATTATATATAAACTTGGTTCTCTGGATGTTCTTTATTCATTGTTGAACACCAATCAGCGACTTGATCAAATGGCACGAAGTATTAACAACACCAAGTTCATAGACTTTTCAATAGAACTATCAGATGGTCAATTCTCATCAATTGATAATATCAAACTTGATCGGTTGTGTGAAAAAATATTGCCTGGAATCCATCATAATATTGTGGGAGTTACTTTTGAATTAGCCTATATGGAACGTATTCTTCTTGCCTACGAATATCCTAATCTTACTACGATCGTCATCGTAACCTTTTCACCGGATATCCTTTTAAACTATTTAACAGGTAAATATAATAATCTTTTATGATGATATAAATATCTGTTTCTAATCATATTATTAGAAGGATCGGCAATTACTCGTTTGTTCAAAGAACAGATCAAACACATTACTATCAAAAATGAAAAGAAAGTTTTTACTAATCAATCGTTTACAGATGTTTGTGCACGTATTCTTTCGATTTGTAGAAAATGTACTTATTTAGATATGAATCAATGGATAACGAATAGATCTTCCACAATTTTACTTCATGATCGATTCTCAAATATTTGTTATTCATCATGTCTTCATACTTTGTTTATTAATGTGAAAAATTTTGAAGATTGCCTTTGTTTACTTGATGGTCGTCTCAATCAATTATCTTCATTGACAGTAAACATTAACTTTATAAAAAGATCATCAATCATTGATAATAATCAAGTAAGTAAAGTACGATATATGATGTTATACTTTTGTTTTGTTTTTTTTTTAGAAAATTTTATCTAATTTGAAAGAATTCTCTTTAATATGTTATTGTTTTATAACTGCTTATGATTGTCGAATCTTGCCACTTCTTCATCGTATGACACATTTGAATAAACTAACTCTATGTTTATATGTGATACGATTGACAAATATTGAAGGAATTGATCTTAATGAAAGAGTTCTATGTCATATGTTAGATTTAAGTACATTTATATTTCATATTTGTACAATTATGACAACTTCTCAAACAAATCATTTCTTATCAACGAATGATATTCAAAATACATTTAATAATTGGAAATATTCTCCAGTTAGTTGTAATATTGATCATTTTTCAGATGGATATACTTATTGTCATATTTATTCAATACCATTTAAAATGTCTTGGCTTATGCATATTACAAATACTTTTCGTGGTCATTGTTTTCAATTTGTTATCGATTTGGTCTTGTATGATACACGTCCATTTGAACATGAATTTTTTGAATGGGTATCTCAAGCATTCCCACTGCTCAAATATTTGACACTTAACAATATGATGGCACAAGAAAAGAAACGTCAAATTCAACCTGTTAAAGATAAAATATTGATTTCTTCAAGACTTTCATATATGCATCTCATTCGACTCAGACTTACCCGTGCACATATTGATTACGCTAATCAATTTCTATATCATGATAATGCTTATATTCCACGTCTTCATACACTTAGGATATAATATGAGAAACTAGATGCCGTTACAAATAATTTTACAAATAATGCAACACGACTCAATTGTAGTCAACTCAAACGATTAATATTTAACCAATTACTTGTTTATCCAGAACATTTTCATCTCTATTTTCCTTCGTTGACAAAATAATTGTTTATTATTTATATTTCAATTCAGATATTTGATTATAATAAAAATAAAATATTCGAAAAGTTTTATTCATATACTGCTGTGTATTAATTATTTAAGTGTACAGTTGAATATATATCATATAGAATTATGATTATGAAAAAGAAAGGTTAGAACTTCAAATGAAAATTGATTTAATCGCAGTGACAGTATTGTATGTCATTGATACAACTTGTGTTGTTGAATGACATGAAAATCTGATAAGAACTTCCAGATTTTCACACTTAAGTAAAATTGAAATTAATTTTTCCATAGCCACTGTTAATGACACAGACACAATACCAATTGAATAAAATATTGATAGAACTGCGCCAAGAATATAAATACAAAATAATATTATTATATTACGAAGAACTTCAAAATCACGATTTGTTCTTTTTGATATATCTCGTGTAAATGTATTAGTTGCACTATGTCGAATTCGAAGATAAATTGAAATATAAATAGATACAATTAATGAAATTGGTATCAAATAATAAGCAATTATTATATAATCAACATGTAATCTTGACGGTGAGTGTGGGTATGGGTGAAAAATAGATGTAGTACCAACACTCATACCCACACACTCACACATACATACTTGAATCCTTTTTTCAAAAGATAGTCTTATAGTAAAATATTGCTATGTAACAAAAAAATAGTAATTATTAGACGAAGATGTTGCTATATTATAAAATGGTACAGTCAATTAAAATAAGCAATTACAAATTGACACAAAAAGGTTATGGACTTGTGAAAAAAACTTCTGATTTAGCTACAAAATTGACATTAATTGTACTTGAACGATAATTCATTTATATTTAACTAAACATGATTATATTCGAACACAAATTATATCAAAAAAGATCGAGTGTAGGTGTGGATGTGGATCCTTTCTCTACTCCCACTTACACCCATCATATATGTATCGCAGCTTTCTCATTTTTTCTTCATCACACGCAGCCTCGTTCAATACTACTACACTTCAATTCCATATAAGTTATTCTTCTTTTATTACTGAGAACATTCTCGCAAAGAATTAGAAATGTAAACATATCTGAGAAGGCCATTTATACACATTCTTATGTGTATGTATTATCTTATCAGTCGCTTTCATTCATCGCGTTTTTATTATTTACAGAGTTGTTCTCTTTACGCACGCGCGCGTCATTACAAACTAGAATTAATTCAAGAATAAGTGATCAAGAGATCCTTTTATTTATTTATAAAATATTCTTTATAATTTTTTCTTTTGCGTTCTCAATATTGTTCTTCACATTTTTAATACTAGGATGAGTTGGAGGTAGTGTACGTTGTTTAATGTCCAGAGCACGTTCAAAATATGATAGTGCTTTCGAATAGTCTTTCATACTGTAATACAAAACCGCGATGTTGTTGTATGACTGTGAAAAATCAGGATGATTTGAAGGAAGAGTTTTTTGTCGAATTTCAAGTGCTTTTTCGTGAGATGAAAGTGCCTTCGAGTACTCTCCCATCTTGTGATACACCACACCGATGTTGTTATATGAAGTAGCCAATGAAGGATGATTTGAAGGAAGAGTTTTTTGATAAATTTGAAGTGCACTTTCATAAGAAGAAAGCGCTTTTGAGTATTCTTCCATGTTGTCAGACACCAAACCGATGTTGTTGTATGAACCAGCCAAATCAGGATGATTCCAAGCAAGAGTTTTCTGTTGAATTTCAAATGCTTTTTCGTGAAATGAAAGTGCTTTCGAGTACTCTCCCATTTTGCAATACACCAAACCCATATTGTTGTATGAAGTAGCCAAATGAGGATGATTTGAAGGAAGAGTTTTTTCTAAAATGTCAAGTGCTCTTTCGTGAAATGGGAGTGCTTTTGAGTATTCTCCCATCTTGTCATACACCAAACCGATGTTGTTGTATGAAGTAGCCAAATCAGGATGATTCGAAGGAAAAGCTTTTTGATAGATTTCAATTGCTTTTTCGTAAAATGAAATGGCTTTTATGTATTCTCCCATGTCCTCATACACACTACCGATGTTGTTGTGTGACTCCGCAAAATCAGGATGATTCGAAGGAAGAGTTTTCTGTTGAATTTCAAATGCTTTTTCGTGAGACGAAAGTGCTTTCGAGTACTCTCCCATCTTGTGATACACCATACCGATATTGTTGTATGAAGTAGCTAAATCAGGATGATTTGGGAGCAGAGTTTTTTGTTGAATTTCATGTGCTTTTTCGTAAAATGCAAGTGCTTTCAAGTACTCTCCCTTGTTGTCATACATACTGCCGATGTTGTTATATGAAGTAGCCAAATAAGGATGATTTGAAGGAAGAGTTTTTTCTAAAATGTCGAGTGCTTTTTCGTGTGATGAAAATGCTTTCGAGTACTCTCCCATCCTCTGATACACCATACCGATGCTATTGTATGAATTAGCTAAATCAGGATGTTGTGATGGAAGAGTTTTCTGTTGAATGTCAAGTCCTTGCTCTAAATATCGAATAGCATTTTCATAATCACCCTGAGAACCTTTGACATATCCCAGCTGATTATAATAATGCTGCTTTTCACTCTCATCAGATGTCTGTTCGAGTAATACGTTATAAAGCTCTTCAGCTTTATTAAATTGACCGATTTTAAGTAATAAGTTACCCAATCTCTCCCATTCATTATCACCACCAACTTCTTCTCGTATGCGATCAGTAAGTAATCGTAGCTGTTGATCGTCATCCGACGTCAATTGTACTTCAACTTGATAAAGTCGGTTTTTGTTATCCATTTGTTTAATTGCATCCACTCGAAAGACGGTATGCATGGAGAACAGAATTTCTTCTTCTTGATTAAAATAACTTATTTCCTTGATGGAGGCAAATGGTGCTGATTTAATACAAGGATCAATGGACATTATAAATAGAATGCCAATCATATCCACATCTTCTGAGGCACTATAAGCAAGTCCGAGAGCTATATCTTGTTCCGTACTTGTGGATAAAAAGTTATTGAAAGATATTAAACCACGTTTTGTTTTTTGTAATTTTTCGAAATTTGCTTTGGATAGACCTTGCCCGCGGTAAACTATAAACGGTTTGCCATAATAACTGCCAATCTGCTGATGATGTAGCTGTTGGATTTGTTGATGAAGGTCATCAATGAAAAAGCCCATGTTCATAATGGTATCACCTTCCATAGAGCGAAGAGCATAATTCAGCATAGAGTATATAAATGATGGGTAAGTATACCACCAAATAGCTGATTGAGAATCGTATTCTTCTTCGAATTGATCAATATTCTTTGCCGATCCGCAATCGTGATGTCGACAATAATTAGTAAAGTCTTTGATGGCCTGCTTATCATGTTCCATATCAAGAAGAATTTCTTTGAATATCTGAGTATACATAAAAGTTGGCTCCAACTGATTTAAACTATCAGTTGAAATCGTCTCATTTGCCGTGATAAAACTCATGGCAATCGAATCTTGATTATATCTCTTGATACCCAGTCGTAATACTTTGCATAAGTCATCGATGTTGGTATGAACGTTCCTGATTTTTCGCCAGTTTTTGGTCCATTCTTCATGTTGAGATTTAATGTTACTGAAGATATAAACACTATGCAATTGAGGGATGTCATTCATGAACGGTACTATGTGTTGAGCCATAGTATTTTCAAGAACGAGAAAAAACTTGATGTTTTCTTCAGCATCTGTAAGAAAGTCGATACATTCGTCTCGCTGCTTAAAGATCTTGACATTATCTATTCTGGGTTTTAATTGTGTCAAAATATCTTGATATTCTTGGTTTGCTTCATCCATACACTCATCTAAACAGAGAAGCGAGTAATTTCGAACCAGCCGTCGTCTTGGTCGAATAGCATCCGATGGTGTTATGGTCGTGTTATTGTTATTCATGAACGTGTTTGATGATAAAGAAGCTCTTGGATTGTATTCTGATCCACTCGTTTGATTCTTTTTATAATTTGATGTTGAATATAAGCTTAGCAATAATTGTTGCTTTCTAAATGATAAGAAGACTAACCACTCCTATTTATAATAGCAATGGTGTATTTTTCCAATCTTTTTTAGCTTGCTTCAATTACTTACTTTTTAAAATATTGTTGTGAAGAGCAAAAGACAGATTAGTACAAATAAATTTCTTAACAACGTTCGCCATAGAACAAAATGATTTCGTTTTATACTTATTCTTTCCAACTTTTTTGGCCTTATCTATGCAATTATTTATAGTAATTGAATATACCATCAATGCTTTATCATTCAAATGGAATAGAAATAGAAATATGATTCCTTTAGTGAATGTTGCTTCTCTTCATACATTGTTTTGTTATTAAATGGCAGCAAGCAATTGATTAGAACAAAATGATTGTATCAGTAGACGAGAAATAGATATTGATTTAAGAGTATCGTAGAAGCTTTGTTGTTCTCTGTTCGAAAAAGAAAAGTATTCTGTACAAATATATTTAAATCAGTAGTATTGTAAATAGTTTTTCAGAATATACAAAATTGTTAGATCTAAAGATGTTAAAAAACTTTCTAACAAATGATAATCTTGAAGGTGTGGATATGGGTGCCTCTTCTCATAGCTCACGCCCACAACCACACCCACACCCTCAAGCAATTGTGTTAATTATATAGATGATGTACATATTATGTAGATGATGTACATATTATGTAAATTTTATAAATGAAATAACTCTTTTGTCTTCCTCGTTTTTTTAATCGAGTCCACTTATGACACTTGCTGTATATTGCCAAATTGTGCGTCTTGATCTTTTGCTCCTCTTTATATAAATAAGATATCACTGTCGATCAAGTTATATTTCTTTACTATTCTCTCTAGATATTCTTTTGTATCACAACTTGTTGAACATTTAAAATGAGAGCTTATTCTATTTATTTCTTAATTATCAATCTAATTATAAAGGGACAATAAAGCTAACTATAAAAAGAACAACGAATATGAGATTTTATATTTTCAGACAAAAATAAAATCCCAAATCGTTGAAAGCTGTAATTTTCAAGGTGTATTTTGGTGGACATTTGCTCAAACCAGGATCATAACCATTGCACGAAGGACCAGATATTGTTCCGCCTATTTGCATTCCACATAATGTTCCTGGCAAATCTTTCTCTGCATTCACAACTGCACACATTGCGTTTACTGCCGATTTGCTTTGATCCTGATAATATTGATAGCCTAATGGACATGTAGCTGATAAACCATTTGTGGTGATATTGCAACCTACACTATGTTCAAAACGAAAAGGTGCACTGTGATATGAATAAAGACCACAAAGTGTTCCATGAACAGGGCTACTGATTTCAGTCTGATTTTTAAAGCAAACAGTCAGATCAGTTTTCCAGCTATACGAAGACCATCCCTTTGGGCAACCCTTCCATGGATCTAGACCACCACAATTAACTTTCATGAACGAACGAGAAAGTCCACATATAGTACCATGTAATATTTGTGGAGGTTCTATTAATATCGTTCCACAATCCGGACCAGTCCATCCTGGTTTGCATTTACATATGCCAAACTGGAAATATCCTGATGGTTCACAAGTTCCATGAGTACCATTACCTCCACAATTGTTATAACAAAACATTGAATTACCGATATATTTTTCTAATGCTTTTTCGATCAATTTTGATTTGTTAGTAATCAAGAAATCATTTGGAAAGTAGTTTTTCTTAAGAAGACGAAAAATATCTCGAAGAGTAAATTCGATAACTACAGGATTCTTTGTAACTGATTTAGACCATTCGGTCAGATTGGCTAAAACTGGATCACCACCTAACGAAGTTGAACGTATTGACTGTATTTCTTTGCTGAAATTTTCATATTTAGATCCTTCTTTTGATTCCAGATAACTTGTGCTAGTTCCTGCGGATACTTTTGGTGTAATGAATGCCAAGCTAGCTTCATGTTTGACATCTACACCTTGTTTTTCAAGTCGTTCTTTAGTTTCTCGATTGATGAGAATGGTTTGTTGTGCGATTCCACCTAATAAAATACTTGATGCATAAGTAAATCCAAAATAATCGAAGATGAAATCTCTTGCATATTCTTCTATATCTGGATCATCTTCTTCACAACAGGGAAAATTTTCAATAACATATTTAAAATTATCGGATAATTCCATTCGTGGTTCAAACATAGATAATCTCGCAGACGAAATTTGAACTTTGGTGAACTAAAAATTTTCATAGCATTCAAAGAGATACAAATAAAATATTAACTTACAATCGACGTTTGATGATTTTTAACAATATTATCAAGCATGTAACGAGTTTCCTTTGAGAATTGATAGGAGAATCCCACGCCTTTAAATTGAGCTCCAATGGAAGTTTGAACTTTGCTTGAGATGGATTTGTGCAAATGTTCAATTGTATCTATTATCTCACTATCAACTGTCAATGAAGTCGCAGGTAAACAATCGAGATCAACATTCTCTGGAATTAATTTATCTGTGCATGACCCAAGTACTGGTGATGTATAGTTGAGTTTGAAAATTGAACGAGTAAATCCAGCCATTTGACACTCGCCTGTGTAACATATTGGTGCACCGGAAAGTAAGTCGAATCCAAAACCAATTTTGTTGCTGTTTTCCAACGCTGGTATTGTTGAAAAAGCACGAGTACTAACGTCGAATTGACGAAGGTAGAGCCGCACACGTTCAATTGTTTGACGACGCTCATCATGAAGAGGCGTCAAATTAACCAACAAAAATAACGAAAGAATAACGGAAAATCGTAGAAACATTGCAATATTGAATATGTGTATTCATTTCTCACCTTTTTATAGATATATCACACATTCAGATTATACAAATAACTTATTTCGCCGAAAAAAAAACTATTGATTAAAAGATTAGTTCTGTCTACGAGTGGCATACATATTTAACTGAAACACGATATTATAAGATTAATTCATGACTCAATATTGGTTACTAAGAGCTATTTTTGCACATATATAATCACATAATGACGCTGGCAAATTTCCCAGAAAAAGGATTAGCCATACTGCTTTGTATGCAGACAATTTAATTAATGTTACATAGATGAAGAAATAAAAAATTTGAAGGGTTTTCTGAATACTATGTAAAGAAAGTAATATTTTTAAGATTGTTATTCTAGAGCAATGGCATGACATTTGTAAAATAGTTCAGTGCAACACACACACGATCATGTCATATAATAAAAACAGTAGTGATATTGTTGAATATAATTTTTTTGCTACTTATTATCCATTATTTTTGGTAATTAGTGGTACTCTATTCAATTCGTTGACATTCATTATTCTTTGTCGGCGAAAATTTCGAGGTACAAGTAAACAATTAACACTTCATTATATGCGTGCAATAGCTATTTTCGATATTCTTATGTTGTATGGTCGAAATTTTGATCATTTTCTTTATTATGCATATGGATTTACATTACAAACTTATTCAATATCGTTCTGCAAGTTGTTTTCATTTTTAAATTATTTTACACCACAAGTTTCAGCATGGCTACGTATTTTTATTTGTTTTGATCGATATTTATCATTAAGTCGTATTCATAAAACATGGTTTGCTCAATCTAGAAATGTTCTTATCATTATTATATGTATTGTGACAATTTTTACTCTCATAAATTTTCATTTTTTCTTATTTGCCTGTTATGATAACGATGATGGTACAGTAAATATGGAAGCTCGTCTATATGAAATATATCCATTATGGAATTATATAAATTTAGTATTGTATAATTGTTTACCATTTATTTTTATGATTGCATTTTATGGCAATGTGATTTATCATTTAATACGTTTTCGTCATACTAATATAAGTCAAAATTTACGACGTCAATATCGCTCGATGTCAATTACACTTATTATAATAACCTTTCTTTTTCTAATAATGACTATGCCGGCTACAATTTGTTCTGGATTCTTTTATGCAAGTACAAGTAAATTTATTCGTCATTTATTTGATTATATTCTCTATACATATCATATATTATCATTTCTTATATATTTAATTACGTTTCGTGAATTTCGAAAAGAAGTTATTCTTTCGATAACACTTTAAAAAAATGACAATTAACCAAATAATATATATATATATTTTTTTTTCAAAGAATTTTAAATTTGTTATTAACTGATTGTCTTTTGTTTTTTGTTGTAAATAACATGCATTAAATACAGGAAACAAAAAGATAAGAGAATAAGAAAAAAAAAGCCACCTTTATGTATTCCAAGCGTTGAAATTTTGTTATATATATATACTTCATTAACAGTGAACATAGATCTTGAATAAAAAACAACGGTAGAAACGTGTGCGAAAAAAAAACACAAAGAGGAAGAATATTGCGAGTGATAAATTACGCATATATATATATATGTATATAATAATGTACATAAAGATTAAACATTGCCTTCTACAGTCATAATTAAAGGATTAACATATTCAAAACCTTCAAATTCTGATTGTTGAATACGTGCTAAAACTTCGTCATCTTCAGGTGTTAAAACGACATCTTCATTTGTAAATTGTGGATCAAAATGTGAAAGATCTTTATCTTCAGTTAACATTGGTTTATAGGGTGGAACAATTTGTCGTGATTCTAATCGTTGCCAATCAATCGAAGGATAAAAAAATGGATGTAAACATATATCTTGAAAACCAGCTTGACAACCTAATATTGGATCATAACGACAACCTAAACGATTTCGAGGATCTTTATTAAGAAATCCTTCTAAAACATTTTTAGCTTTAACAGTTAATGAACGTGGAATACGTATTGGTTGTTCGAGTATAACTTGAAATAGACGATCTTCAGTATTTAAATCAGGATTTTCAGCTGAACCAACTATTTCAAATGGTGAACGTCCAGCCATCATTTCAAACATAAGTACACCTAGATATGTGAAATTTATTACAACAAAAAAAATCAAAATTCTTATATTTACCTAATGCCCACCAATCTACACTAAAATTATAATCATGATTTCTTAACATTTCCGGTGCTAAATAATTTGGTGTACCACAAAATGTACTTGTTCGTTCATCACGTTTAAAATCTAAACCTTCTTTACACATTCCATAATCAGTTAATTTAATATGACCATCAGCATCAAGTAAAACATTATCTAATTTTAAATCACGATAAATTACACCATGTTCATGTAGAAAATGTAAAGCAACTGTTATTTCTGCTGCATAAAATCTAGCACTTGATTCAGGTAATTTTCGTTGTCGTTGCATATGATACATTAAATCTCCACCGGTAACAAATTCAATAACAAAAAATAATCTTGATGGTGTCTGAAAACATGAATGTAAACCAACAAGAAATGGATGATTTGTTGCTTTTTCAAAAACATTTTTTTCACATTGAATCCAATCAATATCTTCATCATCATTAACAATAGATTTTTTTATAACTTTCATTGCATAGAGACGTGGTGGTTGATGATTATTTGAAATATGTCGTAAATGTCGTGGACGATATTCTGCTAAGAAGACTTTTGCATATGAACCACGACCAATAACTTTTAATAATTCAAAATCTTGTAAACTTATAGTTGGAGCACCGGTTGAAGATGTTCGTAAATCATCACCTACATCTATATAATTGCTATTTGTACCATTTGGATCATCAATCGGAGAATGACCAAGATCAGATAGACCTTGTGCTCGTTTTAATGGTCCAGGTTCATATAGAGTTGACATTTTTTGTTTTGTCATTGGATCTCGAGCATTCATTACACTAGCACCAGTTGGTCTATGTCGTTTAATAATTTCATTCACACCATTTTGTTGTTGATTCTCATTTTGTTTTTTATTTAATATAGATTGTTGTCCATTCGATGTTGTTGAACTCGATACAGATGTATGTCGTCCATTGGAATCTATTATTTTTGGATGATAAGGTGAAGTACCTGATGTTGTTGTACCACAAACAATGCGTAACTGTTTTACACATCGTTTATGTACAAGAACTCGACAATCAAGACATTTATAACCTTGTCTACCTAAACCCCATAAACGATCATTACAAACAGTACAAGCAGCTGTTGTACTAAATCTTTTTGCTTGATAACGATGTCCATTAATTAAATAAAGTTTTTTCCAACGACGTGCACCCCGTCGATATATTAATGGATCTTCACCTGGACATAGTAGACCTGGTTGTTCAGGTCGACTTGGGAAAACATGTATATGTAATTCTTTGTCAGCATTCTTTTTGTATAAGCGTATAGCTGTATTTAATTCTCTTTGTGATGACATTGTTATAGCATCAAGTGCTTCATCAAGCCATTTAACAGTAAATGTTGGTGGATCAGCACATGTTAAATGACATATTGAACATAAATGATTATAAAATGAATCTAATGTTAAATTTAATGGTAAATAAGTAACAGTTGCTTGTTGTTGATAATGTATTAAAAATTTAACTGTTGTTGTATCATCATTCGCCATTATTGAAAATGAAGAAATCTATTATTGAAATCACAGTTTTATATAAATAACATTATGGAATGTATATATCTAAAATTCTAATAAAATAAAATGCCTAAGTTTCCTGAGATATGTCTCTTTTGTTAAAAAATTATAATTAAGAATAGAACAGATAAGTAATTTTCATATCTATACAGTACAAACATATATACATATTAAACATAAAACATTTAGTCGGGAGAAGAAGTGAGAATTATTCATGAACAATACGTTGATTAACATTACGATGAAGAGGTTTTATAGTCGATGAATTTCGTGATAATCCAACACGAGCTGTTTGTAATGATGGAATGACTATTTTACTTGTTGGAAAGCCTACTGGTGTATTGACTTTTTTCTTTGAAACATCAGATGTTGAAACTAAATTAACAAAATAATAGATATTGAGATATATAAATATGTATATATTTACTTGATGGTTTTTGTTGAGCACGTGTGGTTGATTGATTTGAATTGAGATCAATTGATTTAACAGTTGGTATTTCTTTCGATTTACGAACTGGTTTCTTTTCAGGTGTCGGCTCTTCTTCTTCTTCATTATCATCAGCAATTTCTTCTTCTTGTTCTTCATCATGACTAGATTCATTTTCATCATCCTCTTCTTCTTCTTCTTCTTCTCGTTTTATTCGTTTACTTTTTGGCAATGAATTTTCATCTTGTTCATCAAAATCTTTATCTGTTGATTTACTTTCTAAAATTAAACATAATTTAATACCTTGTTTTGATATAATTTCTATTCTTACCATTACTCGATTCTGTTGATCGACTAGTTGTACTTTCTTTATCATCAATAATAACTGGAATTTCAATAGATACTTCAGATTCTTTTGAGATTTTAAGTGCTAAATCAAGTTCTTCTTGTTCAGCTTTCGATAATCTAATATAATATAAAATTTAAAGTTATGAGGAGAGAAAAAAACAAACAAACTTTTCTTTTCGTTTTCGAGGTGGTTGTCGAGGTGAAGACTTAGGTTCTTTTTGTTGATTATTTGATTTAGTATTACGAGTTTTTTTGGTATTATCATCTTTTGGAATAAAATCTAAATGAAAGAAAACTAAACAATAAAAGAAAAATATCTAGAAATTTACCATCATCATCATTTTCTGTATAAGATACTGTTTTTGTTATACGTTTTGCACCGGGCATATTTATCGAAATGTAGAAAATAATCTAATAAATAATAATTCAAATGTTTAATAATTCTATTCAAGTAACGATATGTCACATATACTTGTGATAATATATAACTAAAGTATTTAATAATTTTTATCTAAAACAAATAGATATAAATATCTTATACTATATCAAGAAAAGTAAGCATAAAACAATTGCACCTGTGGAGAAAAAAAAAGAAAACTTTTACATTTATACACGCATATCGTTCATTGTACTAAATTGTTTTTTTTTATTAAAATAGTAATAAAATGACATTGATAAATCGAATTGATAGTTTTCCCTGTTAAGTATATTTACTAGTATATGATTGTTGTTGATTAGAAGACATAAAAGATGATCCTCCAGACATTTGTAATAAATCATGAAATTTTTCTGCTTTAATTTTTAATTCATGTGCTCGTTTACGATCTTCTATAAAACGACGTTCAAATTCTTGTACTTGTTCTTCAGTTTTTTC